TTGCTGAAGTAAGCAGCACCCACATGCCACCAATAGCAGTGTATCAGTAATTAAATAGTACCAGTACTACTAAACTGCTAAGAAAATTCCAAATATGTTTTCTTTGCTGATTTGCTACAACAACATAGCGATGGAGACAACACAAATTTTCAAAATGGCCAGGTCCTTATAGGATTTTTATTAATGAGCTTAGTATTAGGTGAGCAGACTTGCATCCATGGGCCTTTCCTAAAGATTAACTGAGCTATTTCCAAATTGTGCTGGGCACTTGACCTGATACTTGTTTAGTTTCATATGCCAATGAGTAGGAGGAACAGTAAGTGTGTTTTTCTCAACTATGGAAAAAGATCTCTTGAAGAGATGGATTTGCTATCACATCTACTGAGAGGTGGCTGTAGTTGGCATCAAATCAATATAAAAACCAAGGCAAGGAAGGTATGCATTTCCAAGCATATCCTGAAATAAAGTTACATTTCTAATCCCCGCTGGATGGTTTACAAAAGTCCCTTTCAGCTTCGCTCTGGATGTTAGGGTTTGGATTCCTTGTTCTGATCGTTCTACTTCACCGACTCTTTTTGTGCTTTCATTTTCCTACACAGAAGTGATCTAAAGGACTGTCACTGTCCCCGGCAAGCCAATGCTTTTGGGGCGATTACAGCTGCCGCTTACGGTCCTTGAGGTGTAGTTCCATAGACATCACTTCATTGCAAGGATTTTGGTTAACATTAGCCAGTTACATGAATTTAAAATGTGCTTGTGGAAGAGGGCTTAGGCTGGCATCCATGTCTTAATGCATGTGTACAGGTTTAGTTTGCAGAAGTCCCAATGATGTGTAGAACTTCGTGCTAAGTTTGCTTAGAACTTCACCCTTCAAATCAGGTGATCGGGCAACTATTGCTTCCACTGCCAAGTTGATGGTCGGAAACGGTTGTCTCTGTATCTAAATAAGATGAGGCAATTCCAGATAGCCTCATTTTAAATTTAGCACACCAGATGAAAATCTTTGGGTGAGGTCATCATAGGGTACCATGTTTTGAGTTGGATGTTGTATAAGTCTTGGTGAGAGCTTTGCTTAATAGCCATATGAAAATAAAATGCCTTATAAAACTTCATGAGAATGTCTTTCACAGGCAACATTTTGTTGGAAGGGGGGCATTACTCTTTGGCCAAGCTAATGAGGAATGTTTATTATCATCCATAAAAGAAGAGTGACTGTTTCCCAATATCTTGTGTCACCTTCACAACATTAGCTTATGGCATTTTATTAAAAATTGGCTTGCCCTTTGAGAAAATGTTAAAGTCAGTAGATAGAGACTGCTCAGAAGGACAATAAAAAGCTGTGTTCTCCAACCCAATTTGAAGGAGAAATCCATCCTTCCTATCATCCCTTAATGGAAACTGCCTTGTAATCATTTGTTTTCAGAGCAGAAAACATCCTTAGGATATTATAAACTGCTATAAGAAGGTATATGATAGAAAGCCTGATCTAGGATTCTAGATTATGTGTAAGGAGATGAAAGCTGTTAAACTGCTCATTCTGAAAACTGTAAATTCTTTCATAAAACTGCTAAGTGCTACTTTGCTTTGGGGCAATACATAGAGCAGACCTGTGCAACTACCAAAGCACAGCCCATCAGCCACATACCATGGCTTGCCACATGCTCCATAAGTGTATTTTTGCAGTTCTAGGCCAGCACCCAAAACAGCAGGGTTTGGATCCAGTCAATATTGTGGTGGGGTTCTTCTTTTTGTGAGGGGTATACAAAAGAAGGCACTGAGAATTCGCTTCTATACAAAACTTGTCATCAGTTGACTGTAGAAACATCATGTTCCAAAAACTGCAGCAGCTTACATACTGCTTTATAGCAGATGCTTGATGTACATGGGGAGAAAAACACTATTTGTAGAAATGCAGAATTTCAATTGCAGAACAGCACTACCTACCTATACCATATCTACTGTATAATCTTGACTTATTAAGATTGTACCAGCAGCAAATGTTTAAATAAAGGCTCTTTAACAAATACTGTTGCTTTAAGACTAGAAACCAGAAAAAGAGTGAGGAAGTGTGTGCTGTCTTGCTTCATGAGGCAGCATAAGAATAGGGGGCCAGCATAACTCATCTGTGTTTAGATTGTTGTGTGAGGACATCTCTCATCTCTGAAATAATAATCTTGTGGCCAATTTCCCTGTTATCTAGTGATAAAAGGGAAGGGACAGCACTTTATGTGAACAAGCCTAATATTGTCACCATTTGTTTAATAGTGGCAGCCCCTTTTCCTTCCCATGTAATTTCCCATGTCCCACCCACCCTGGAGAGGACTTGATGATCAGCCCCAAAGAGAATAGTTATCCTGGCCACTTAGTGAATTCTGAAAGAACAAAATGTGTGATAACATGCCTACTTGTAGAATAGCTTTTCCCAACATAGTGCCCTCCATTTCCCTGGACTGCAACTCCCATCATCTGTGATGCTGGCTGGTGCTGATAAGAAGGCAATAAGCTGGTGAAGGGTAAACTTTCTGTTTTGTTATTGACGTGCAGTCTACAGATAACAATACATGAAATGTGAGGCACGCATACTTGCCTCTATAGGTTATTAAGGCAAATTTTCATGTTATGTACACTGCAGTGCACAGTATGGGGATAACTACATCATCCTATGCAATCCTTTGCGGTCCATGTATGTATTCATCATGTGTTATAAAAATTATTTTATTTAAAATATGTATCTCTTCAGCCAAAAAGGGCCAAAATGGCTTACAAATGTCAATCATAAGACAGTCCTTCCCTTCAGGCTTACAATCTAAAATGCATGACATTCAAGGGAAAGGGACTGAGGAGGAAAGAAAATAACACGGGCATTATTTCTGGTTGTGAATTGTCTGTTGCAATGATGTTGCAAAGGTTTTGAACCAGAACAAGCCAAAGGTTAGTGGAGGCACAGCCTGAAAGGTACTACCACCTTAGATGTGGTTTGTGGATTTGGGGAACAATAGCAACACTAGTGCATTTCTAGGCTTGGTATCCCAGGAAAGCTTTTCCATTTAGAAATCTAGTGTAATTTTCCTTGTAGAGGTGGGTAGGGATAAAGGAAAGTTGCTGTTCTTGACAGAATAATTTAGTATGTGGATAAGAAGCTTCTAGCATTGCCTCTATTCTGATTGGCAGCAATTCTTCCAGGCTGGGATAGGAGGTTTTCCAGGTTTTACTACCCAAGAGCCTTTTACCTAAATATGCAAAGGATTGATCCTAAGGTCTAATGCATGCAAAGCAGATGTTCTAGGTCAAACAAGCCTGATATGGAACCTTAAAACAACAATGTTGGGAAATATAAAAGAGATTATTTTCACTGCTTTGTGCAGAACTTGCCTTAATATGTCTTGTGGGTTGGGGGAGGGGTTTAACAGGTTATTGCACATGTTAATGCAAAACTAAGGAAGTGAGAGGGATGGTGAAATTACTTCTAATTCCATAAAGTTAAAAAATTTCAAGTAATTTATCAAGAACAGTGGACAAGTTACTTATGTACAGCAGCTGCTGACAGTATTTCATTTTCTGTACAGGCTATTCTCTATATTAATAGGGTTGGTGTATTTTTAAATTGACAGAGGCTCTGTGTAACAGGCAAAAGTCAACAGACAAAGGCAGTGCTGAAAATGATGGTACAGAAGCTGTCCCTACAGCTTTGTCTGCTTGACATGCAGGGTGTTTTTAAGGAACAGCGCAGCCTAATATACTTGAAATGACTGAAAATGCCTGCATTTGTATGCAAATCATCTTCCTGTCTCGGTAAGTATTTTCAACGTGCTTCTTTCTCTGATAAGGATTTTGCATAACTGGAAAACTTTTGAATGGCCAGATTATTCTAGACTAGCGTGTCTGTCTGTGTGTACGCACGCGCTACACAAACGGATATGCGTGAGTTAAGAGAGAGAAAGAGAGAGAGAAAACTAAACAGTGGGGACTAAAAAACCGCTGAATCGTAAGAAGCGCATCCTACGATATTGCAATGCAAAATCCCTTTGTATCTTAGGTGACGCTGCCTCTCAACTTGCTTCCGCAAGTGGTGTCGTCCATCTTTATTTCATATGGTTTGGGGATTTTGGAGTCAACACATCAGGTCTACTCCACTCAAATATTACATTCATTGGGACTTTGTGACCCAAGCATAGTGACATTCATTGGGGCGATCCTACATACATACATACACACACAGCTGTGTGGTTTTTAAGGTTAAGCAGTGTATAAATTCTGCTAAAAAATAATAATTTGGCAGCACCACCTAACATACTACTTGGAAGTGACGCTGTGTGTTCATTTGGGGCTTAACGTCCAGGATATGTATGTCTGCAGCTCAAGCTGTAGCCTCTCCTGCTGCAGAGAACTGTCCCGCCTTTCTGTATCTTTATTTTTTAGGGCCCAAAATGAACCCGAGACTAATTTTATTTATTTATTATGTTTATTTAAATTCTATACTGCCCTTTATCCGAGGATCACAGTGCGGTTTACAATATAAAAATACAAACATACATTATGTTATTGTTTAGTCGTGTCCGACTCTTCGTGACCCCATGGACCAGAGCACGGCAGGCACTCCTGTCTTCCACTGCCTCCCGCAGTTTGGTCAAACTCATGCTGGTAGCTTCGAGAACACTGTCCAACCATCTCGTCCTCTGTCGTCCCCTTCTCCTTGTGCCCTCCATCTTTCCCAACATCAGGGTCTTTTCCAGGGAGTCTTCTCATGAGGTGGCCAAAGTAAAAATACAAACATACATAATAAATGAACATATAAAAACAATACCCCCCAGCTACCCACAGTTTAAAAGGCCACAGGTTGTACGTGCGAGGGGGGCCCTTTTCCCGGCCCTCGTTCTCCTTGCTGCGCGCTTCTGCCTGCCTCCTACACTATCTGTATTTATTCTCTGCTGGGAGAGGCGGAACCCGGACGTCTGGATACCATTTGCCTGGGGGAAGGAAAGCAATGACCGGACCGGAAGCGGAAGTGGGGGCGGAGAAGCGGGGTTTGGCCTGCCCGGGCGGTGGAAGCCGCGGTAGCTGTGGTACTGCTGGCGGACTTGGCGGGGCCCAATGGCCTCCGCGAGCATCGATATCGAGGACGCGACTCAGCATCTCCGAGACATCCTCAAGCTGGATCGGCCGAGCGGTGAGGCTCTCGGGCCGGGACCCTAAAAAGAAGGCGGGGGTTTTTTCCTTGGAAGCAGCTCCTTTGGGGAGTGAGCGGCTGAAATGAGGCTCGTGGTCTCGGGCGGCGGTGCTCCCCTTTGCTCAGCCCATCCCGCGTGAGCGGGAAGGCGCCAACGGCGCTGGCAGGAGGGCGGGAGGCGACGGGCGGGAGAAGAGCCCAGGGGGTCGCGATCCTATATACACGCTTATCTGGGAGTAAACCCAACGGAGCATGATGGGATTTGTTGTCTGGTTGTGCCGGGTTACGGTAGGGGGTTGCAATCCTGCGTCTACTTGTTTGGAAGTGAGCCTCCTTGAGCACAGTGGAGACCTACTTCTGAGTAACCAGAACTCAAGGATGGGGCTTCCCGTTTGGGGCCAAAAAGTCCCACCTGACTAAAAAGGTCCTCTGCAACTGTGGCTCCTGCATCAGTGCTTTCTGCTCTTTTTGGTGGCGTGTGGTGCTCAGCTTTCTTTCAAACGTGGCTGCCTCTTTCTACCCCCCCCCTTCATGTTCTGCTTCTGCCCCGCCCCCTTCTTTAATGGAGCAGGCACTTGGTTTGACTTTGCTTGTTTTTTTAAAGGCCATTTCCCCCTGCAGCTTAAGCCTGCAGCCCAGAGTCTGGTGTCATATATCTGCAGATGATTGTGAAGGCACTCTAGGCAAGGTGGGGTTGGCCAGGCTGCTCAAGCTGGCGCTGAGAATGAGCAACTAGCAATTCAGTACTCTTATTCTATGGCTCTTTAACAAATACCGGATGACTTGACCTTTCCTTAATGTACGTTCTTTGGTTTCTTTGTTTTTGTAGTCATATTCCAGTTGCTTTTGCTACATTTCTCAGGCTGGAAGGAAGACTGAGCAATAGTGTTGTCAGATCTAAACCCTATTTTACAACTTGGTAGGGTCTTGTAGGGCCAGAAAAAAATGATGGCCTTATCTGACTTACCAAGTCATGAGTTAGCCACTCCTATGCCTCCCCCCCCCAGCTGCTTTCAGAATTTTTTTTTGGAGGGGGCCAGTTAGTTGTGGTACTCCACAAGTTATGTTTCTCAACAACTACATGAAGGTGCTGGGAAATATTATCAGAGCTTATGCATTAGATATAATTAACAAGAAGATGACACCCAGGTTTCTAGTTCATTACGTAAGTGTCCAGCAATGGCTGCCTCAGATCTGAACAGCGCGAGGAGGCCACAGGCAAGTGGATGACATAAACAAAACACTTGAGATTGAATCCAGACAAGACAAAGATGAAGGTAGGGGTAAGACTGTGGCTCATGCCGGAGTCATGCCTGAGCAGGTTCCTTACCTATCCAGAGGGAGGTCTGGGCAGTGCTCCAGGATGTATCCTGCACTGGACATGACAAGGCAGCCAAATCAAATAGTGTCCTTGCTGAGACGCTATCTCCCCACCGATAGGTGATCTGCCTGGTTATTATCGTGGTAAGAATGATGTGGGGATGGAGTGATGGACAAAGTTGAGTGAGTAGCTTTGGAATCTTCATAAATTTGGAAATATCTGCAGTGCAGAGTATGGGAGAGGTTTGTCTTTAAAGGGATAGTTTGGAATGCACCTTGTCGCTTTAGTAAAGTGTGTCTAATTAGCATGCCGTGCTGTATTTTATTTGAGGAGGAAATCACAACATTTCTGCCTTGGAAACTGCATTAGCCTCATAAGTCATGAACAAGAACATTGGTATATGGGGGCATTGTTGTCTTTCTTCATTTGTGTAAAAACAGCTGAATAGCTAGTATGAATATGATATACCTATCTGCACATATTATAATACTAATACAGTATACTTAGGTGCAGGATGCATCCTAGATTTTTATCTGAACTTCTGCTGTGCCAGCCAGATCCCTCCCTTTTTGTCTTTTGTGAGATACTGTTTCCATGGTGCTTGCAGCAGTAACCATTTCATGTGAGCAGCGTACTGTGCCTGTTGACATTTCCTGCCATAACCTCACCCAGCTCTGTTGGGCTAGATGGTGGCGTTTAGTTCCTACTGTGCTGCATGTATATCCAGCTTTTGAGCAAAGGCTTTGCTGTAAAGTATTCACCAATCTCTTAATTATTTGTAGGAAGGACTTACTATATTCAGATCACTGACATATCCCAGGGCAGAGTGTGGATTGATTGCAGAATTACTGGGGGTGGAGGATATTAACTCAATTTGCAGTAGGCAATTTCTTTATTCTAGTGGAAAATAGGAGATGCCTTTGCTACTATTACTTTCCTTTCCTTGAACTTGCTCTGGATTTTGATTCCTCCAGTAGGCGTTATCTTTGTTATTCAACTGTCCCTGTAACCACAAGAAACCGTGTGAAACTAAGTGAAATGAAAGCGAAAGTTGATTCTTAGTATTCTGTGTGATTCACTGATTAGCATAGGAATATATAGACATCGTTCACTGCTGTTCAGTGCTTTATACCAAGCCAGAGCATTGATCCACCTCACTCAGTTTTGAGTCTACCCAAATTGGCAACTGCTTTCCAGTCAGACTTCAGGCAGGATCCTCAATTGAGAATCTTTCCCAGCCCTACCTGAAGATGCAGGGAATTGAACCTGGGACCATTTGCATGCGAAGCATGTGCTCTGCCCTGAGCTTATGACCATAGGCATGTACATTTTCATACAAGGCTGGGACCCCATTTTCACAGAGGGTCCTGTCTTCTGGTTGGGTGGAACTTACATCGTATGTGAGGCAGGCAGCTGACAACGGACAGCTCTGCCTTTCCTCAACATGCCTTCTGTGTCTCCTCAGGCAATCAGATTACGGCTTGGCAAGGGGTGGGGGGGACTTAGCCTGAGGAGGGCAGAGAGGGAACTTTCCCCCTGTCGTCCATTCACTGTCTGTACAGAACTAACCATTGTGTACTCTGCCTACGTGCCACCCACCCACCCACCCACCTTTCCTCTTCTCACTTTATGGCATTGAGCCATGCTGCACTCTAGTATGAAACTAGCATTAGCCATCAGTTAACGGGACTGGGTAGGAATTTTACCCAGGATCATCAGCTGACTTCTCTGGCCCTGGGTTTTTGGATTCTCTGCAACAATCCCCTGACTCAAGATGGCTGAAGCTATTGATTTTGACCTTCTAACATCTACCCAGCAGGATTGCTGAGCCCCACACTTCTGACAGCACATGAAACAGTAGAAATAGGTTCTGTGCCTGTATGTCCTGTCTTGCTACTGGTAAACCTGCCTAGAAAAGTTGTTTTTTGTCTTTCCTCAAATTCCGCGGCCTGGTTGTTTCTAACTCCCTTCACAGGTCTATTCTAGCCTTCAGGAACAAACAGAAGTCAGCATCTGGAATGGCAGTTATCCAGAGATTTTTAAGTGTCCTGGCAAAATCATATAGCCCCATCAAGAGTTTGGGGACCACCTTTCTCCACACAGTCCTTCCCAGCTGAAGCCTAGTCATCAAGTGGTGTTGCTGGCTCCATGCTTATGGCTCATTAGGATAGGCACAGCTAGAAACTAGAAGAGAAGCAGGCCACAATTTTCATTTTCCCTGCCCACCCTTCCATTCTCCTCTAGTCTTATAGTATGGAGGCTTCTCACTGAACTGGAGTGGTTAGAGGAACTACCTCTCCATTGAGCTTTCATAGCGATTCTAAAACTTTCTTTTTTAATCCAGCCTTTGGCTGAAATAGTCTTTGTGTGTAGTTATGTCATCATCCATCATGCTTTTATTGATTAATAATAATAATTAATAATTCTATACCACCCTTCATCCAAGGATCATAGGGTGGTTTACAATATAAAATCACAAAAATATGTAGTATACTAACAATACCAAAAAACAAACCCCAACACACAGTTTAAAAGGCAATAGTTTGTTTAATTAGCCAAAGGCCTGGGAGAAGAGGGATATATTTTTGCCTGGTGCCTAAAGATATGTAACACAGGCTCCAGGCAACTCTTCCTGGAGAGAGCATTCCACCAACAGAGAGCCACTGCAGAAATATCCCCTTCCTGTGTTGGCACACTCTGGACCATGGGTAGGCAAAGTAAGGCCTGGGGGCCGGATCCGGCCCAATCGCCTTTTAAATCTGGCCCACGGATGGTCAGGAAATCAATGTGTTTTTACATGAGTAAAATGCAGCTCTGGGTTATTTGCGGGGCATAGGAATTTGTTCATTTAAATAATATATATATAGTCCAGCCCCCCACAAGGTGTGATGGACAGTGGACTGCCCCCCTGCTGGAAAAGTTTGCTAACCCCTTCTCTGGACCTTTCCCGAAGGAGGCACACAAAGAAAGGCCTCAGATGATGATTGCAGATGATGACTATCGGCTCATATGGGGAGAGGCAGTCCTTGAGGTATTGCGGTCCTAAGCTGTTTAAGGCTTTATAGGTCAAAACCAGCACTTTGAATTGGGCCAAGAAACTAATCGGCAGCCAGTGCAGTCAGGCCAGGATTTGCGTTATATCCTCAAGCCGTCTTTCCTTGAGCAAAACACTTGCCTTTTTATCATAGAAGAGAACCACTGATTCAGATTTTCTGTCCTTGGAGAGAATGTTTTTCATATCTTCTCTAGAACATTACTATCTTGATGGGCTCCTTGTTTCCTGTTTCAGTAGAAAGAGAGAGTGTTTGGCGTTTCTTTTGAATGAAACCACTCTCCCATGTTATGTTCTTTTCATCTGGGACAGGGGACCATCAAAGGGAGACTGTATGGTTCAGAAACTTTCATGACCCTTTAAATGGCTGTGTGAATGTGAACATTGGCTCTGTTCCCCCCCTCCCCTCATTTAGGTTCAGTCAACGAAAACCAGAGATCATCCACTTCATACAATGGAGACCTGAATGGTTTGCTGGTGCCAGATCCCATAGCATCTGGAGATGGAGCTTCCCTGACGAAGCCAGTACCCCAAGCAGTTCCTCTGGGAGCACTTCAGGAGAAGCAAGTCATGTAGGTATCTTGGTGGGAGAAAGTGGAGAGCTTGTCATGGGTCTGCTGAAAAATCTCAGCTCGGTAATTGCTCCTACAAAGACTGGGCTTCCAGCTTTCTTGATTACTGCTTTAAAGTTGTGTAACATTGTTTGTAGCTTCTGTTCCAGAGACACTCAAATTTAAGATAGTGTGTTGTCTCCACAGTTGAGGGACTACATTCATACACAGCTTAATGGGGATACATTTTGTACAGTAATGGAGGCTTCATTGACAATGACTGGGATTGAGGTTTGCAACTTGTGGTTTGCATTGTTTGCTGTCTTGTGTTGCTTCCAGTAAAATGCTCATTTGTCCATGAAAGACCATTTGCAGCAGGAAAGACAAGTGGTAAAATTGCTACTTCATAGTAACAGGCATGTTTGTTTAATTGGGGACCTTCAGTAGGCATATCTCTAGCTTTTTCCCAGCTCTCCATAACAAAAGCTGTTTGTCTTTGAGGTTTTTTGTTTTGACTTCTTTTTATCATTTTCTTTTAGCTGCCTCTCTGGAGATGATAGCTCTACCTGTATGGTGATAACTGCTAAAGATGTTGAGATAGTAGCCAGCAGCGACTCTAGCATCACCAGTAAAGCTAGAGGGAGCAACAAGGTAAAAGGGGAAAGATTCATCTGGACAATGTACAAAACCAGTTGGGGCACCACTTGCCATCTTTTCAAGCGTGTAAAGCAGGGATGGGGAACCTGAGATCTTCCAGATGTCATGGGAGTACAACTCTCACCATCTCTTACCATTGGCCATGCTGAATGGGGCTGATGGGAGATGGAGTTCAACATCTGGAGACTTGGTTCCTCATCCCTGATTTAAGGAGTCAGTGCCTGGATTGCTGGTGAATGAGGCTGAAGAGCGTAATACGTTGGAGGGGTGGATTGAGTATTGTGGTGCTTCTCTTAGACTTTTTTTTTAAAGCAGGCATTCATGCCTCAGCCTTGGAATAGCCTGTTTTCTGTGCATATTAGCACCCCCTCTAATGTTCAGTGCGATAGGCCTGGGGAAACCTAACTGCCATGGGAAGCGTTTGTTCACAAGAAAACGGTTGTGTGTGGTTGGAGATTCAAACTGCTGTCTTGGGCTGGTTCAGATGTAGCCTTTAACCACTTGATGATATATGAAAAAGTCCTTAAGAATTCACACATCCCTGAGTTCCTTTCCTATCACCTTCCTTTCACGTGCCATGATTCCCTCCCTGCCTTCTCCTGGTTTATGACAAACTGTAGCTTGCAATTTCATCTGAAACAGTTTCTGCAAACCAGAGAGGGCAGTGGGAATTGTGGTACCTGGGAAGAAGGATTATGGCGTAAGAGCCCAAAGGTCCCTCAAGACTCATTCACATAGTGCCACACAGAGCACATACTTTCTGTGCAGAAGGTCTCCAGTTCAGTCCCCAGCATCTCCTGAAGAAGGGAACAGGATTGGTGACTCCTGAACTAGGTGTTGGCTGTTTCCTCTCTCCTCAGCATATATAGATGATATTACAGTTTTATGTTCAGCGATGGATGCCTTGTCCCTATTTTGGCAAATGTTGAATTTAATTCCACACTTCAGCTGCTCTTCGTTTTCTTTTTTGCCCTCCAGGTAAAAATCCAGCCAGTGGCCAGGTATGACTGGGAGCAGAAATATTACTATGGTAACCTGATTGCTGTGTCAAATGCCTACCTGGCATATGCCATTAGAGGTGAGGCATCTCTCCATCAACTTGGTTCTTTTGGCTAGGCTAGGCTTCTTGTAGTGGCCTTGTGTTGGGCTGAGGTCCCCTTACTTTCCCCACAGCTGTAGAGAGTGCACTGGCATTGCCTAAGCCATCTTAACTGTCATTTTCTTGTTGCTGCTCTTTGACAGGTGCCAGCAATGGCTCTGCAATGGTTCGGGTCCTGAGCGTTAGCACGGCAGAGCGAACCCTGCTGAAGGGCTTCACAGGTGGAGTGGCAGACCTGGCTTTTGCTCACCTCAACTCCAACCAGCTCGCTTGCCTGGATGAAGCTGGCAACCTCTTTGTCTGGCGCCTGGCCATGGAGAATGGAAAAATCCAGTATCTTATCTCTCAGTACTGTTCTTCGTAGGAGATGGCTGCAGTGTTGTTAGATACTGAGGCAACTTTGTAACTACAAGATAGGAAGTGGGCACTGTTTATTTCTGTATCTTAGGCAGGGAACCTGTGACCTTCCAGATATTGTCATTCTTAGCCACTGACCATGGTGCCTGGGGCTGATGGGTGTTGACAACTGAGAAAATCTGGAAGGCCAAAGTTTCCCCATCCCTGCCTTAAAGAGATGTACTAGTATTTATGTACTAGTATTTATTTCTGCCAGCCAGCACCCAAGCATTATACATATTTTCTTCTTGCAAGTTATCCACTCAGGAAACAAGACTCTGACTCCTTGTATTGTGACTCAAAGGTCCCCTTCGGCAGTAACAATTGTGGCTTAATAAACTATAGCTCATTAAGATGAGAATAGACATCAAGCTCTCACACACGTATCTCACATGTGTTTTATTGTATTTTTAACATTTTATTGGAAGCCACCCAGAGTGGCTGGGGAAACCCAGCCAGATGAGCGGGGTATAAATAATAAATAATTACTGTTATTATTATTGTTGTGCTTAAACCACAGTTACCCATTACATCCAAACCAGGAAGCTGTGGTTTAATCCTAGTTTACTACCTAGCACAGGGCGGCCCAACTTTTCATACCAAGTGGGCCGCAGAGTACTTCAAAACGGATCCTGTGGGCCACACAATGCATTGTTGCATAGTGGGTGGAGTGAGACCAACATCTGATGCCCCCACCCCCCACTCAGCCCTCACACTGCCTTCCCAAAGCCGACTATGCAAGGCTCTGTGTTTGTTTCTACTACATCTGGGATAAATCACAAAGCAGTTGATACTACAAAGGAAAGTGATTTGTAGCTGTTCCTTAACTTGGTGATCAGAGAGGAGATCCTGGTAAACATCAAGCGACCTGATGGGACTCCTCTGAACAGCTCCCGGAGGATCATATGGTGTCCCTTCATCCCAGATGAGAACGAGGAGAGCTGTGAGGAAGGCAGTCAGACCCTGGCACTCTTACATGAGGATAGGGTAAGCAGTTTTGATTTTTTTTCTTTCGTAAGGCTGTCGTTCGTATTGCGGTACTAATAAGTTGTAGATAAGGAATTAGAAAGACGTGCCCCATGGTTAGGTCAATTTTCCAGGTTTTTATACATCCATGCACAAAGCACCTCACAGCATGTAAACTGGTACAAGTTTATCAAGTCAGCCTCTGCTTTTATTTAAGTAAGTCTGGCAAGTGTGGTTGTGTTGTGCTATTTTTGGGTGTGGTGCTTGTGAGGAATAAACACAGGAGATGGTGCAGAGTTCATGGGAGGATAGTGAATGCAGAGCGAGGCGGCAACTGGAATGGCAGGTGACTTTATGTTCACTCCTGGCAGAGCTTCAGTATGCAGTTTGTGTGCTTCCTTCTTCTCTTCGTTTTGCAGGCAGAGGTTTGGGACCTTGATATAATCCGAGCCAATCATAATTCATGGCCAGTGGAAGTGACCAGCATCAAAGAGGGCTTTATTGTGGTAAAAGGTCACAGCACGGTAAGAGTTCTGCTGCTGTCATTGGTGTCTGTCTCCCGTTACAGAGCTGAGCCATCTGTTACGTATGTTTAATTCCTTAATCCAACAGTTTTCAATATTCTGAAGAGGCCTGTGGCTTCATCCACTTGGTTTATGGGATCAATGGCAAAAGGGTCTGAGTGTGTGAGCTATTAGACCAGAAGCAGAGGGCCTTTGGCTCTGCAGTTTTTGCTGAACTACTACTCCTATCATCCCTGATCATAGACATGTTTGCTGGGGCTTATTAGACTGTTGCTGAGTTCCTGCTTTTCCCATATGGCAAAGTACAGGCCTTTATGACTGGACAAGTAAAGATGGCATCTTTTTCACCTTTCCATTGTGTGGTTTTGTGACAGTATTTCCCTCCCCCTCGAAGCACTCTTGTTAAGGTTATGGGTGGAAAACTTCCAGCCTCTGCTTACGGGGGCTTTTTGAATTGCACAGCTTTATGTTTTGGTTTAACAGCACTGGGGACAAAAGAAGCCTCTTTAAAATGGGAAGTGAGGTGAGAGGGCACAGCGTGATGTTTGAGAGCATGACTGGGTAAGAGTCCTGCTGTGGGTGGAAAGGTGCTTGGCACTTCACTGATCCAAAGATGCATGAGGTAGTGGGAGAAGTTAAAATGACCAGAGTCAGAGGGAGTCAGTGCATTGATGGCAGCTGAGCCCAAGATGGTGATGGAGGATGTTGCCTGGAGAATACAGAATGAAAAAGTGCTGTAACATATATCCCCCCAAATGTCTTAATTTTTTATCAGCTTAACATACTGAACACCTGGGAAATTGAAAGTACTTTGGCTCAAATTGTCAATATGTGCTGCTGCTGATATAAAAGTTGATAAGCATTCACTGTATAAAAAGAAAGAGGGAAAGAAACATCAGGTTATTAATGTGATTCACATGTATATCACAACCATGTTGGTTTTTTTCACATGTAACACTAACTTGTAACTTTGCTTTGTTGAACAAACCAGGATGACAGATGAGCAAAGTGACCACAGCTTATTTCACCTTACATTGGTTGCATTTTCTAAACACTTGTGCATCTGTAGCTGGGTCATGGTCTGGGGTGGGGTACCAAAACAAACCAGGATTAAGTTCAGGTGTAATAAGAAGCCGTGGTTATTGCAAGCCACGATTCATAAGCCTGTTTTAAACCATGATTACATACAGTATTCTGGTTTCTTGGCCACAAACAAACCATAGTTGACCAGGTTGGGTTCGGGCATACAAGCAAGCACATTTAAGCTAAATAAACCACAGCTTATCCTTGGGTGCAAACCAGGTTATTGCTTTGTATTTCATTGAGGTTGTATTGCTGAGTGAAAGCTGATTTTTTCCCTGTCCCTATCTAGCGTCTGAGTGAGGGAGCCCTTTCTCCAGATGGAACTGTCTTGGCCACCGCAAGCCATGATGGCTTTGTCAAATTCTGGCAGATTTACATAGAAGGGCAGGATGAACCAAGGTAACTTCAGAAGCTCAGTGTCTCTTGATTTGGTGTGCCTCAAGCCTACTTAGATGCCCAGTCCCTTGCTCCAAACATAGTCTCAATTTGGCATGATTTTGTTGATCTACAACAATATTCTTGGTGCTCTCCAGATATTTTGGGTTACAACTCACATCATCCTCTCTCCCATGCTAACCGGGGCTGATGAAATTGTAGTCCAAAGCATCTGAGCTCCAAGCTTTATTAAAGTTCTTGTGCTCTATTGTCTGACCTCCACTTGTAGATAATGTTTGGATTCTTGAGAGTAAGTTGCTGCCTAAAGGAGCCATTTCACACCTGCAGTTACGAAGGAGCGGGCTCTCAGTCATCATTTCTTTGATTTCCTACCTAGGTGCCTGCATGAATGGAAGCCTCATGATGGTAGACCTCTCTCCTGCTTGCTGTTCTGTGACAACCATAAAAAACAAGATCCAGAGTAAGACATGATTCTGTTTTTTTGCTAAGGCTATCCCATTTCCGGTGGGAAGCATGACTGTATGGAAAAATAAATACATTTGCTCTGTATTTACCCCACGAAGGTTCCTTGCTATAATAAAGTAACAGGACCCTACCAATCAGTCATTTACAACTTTCTAGTATAGTTCCTCTATTCCTCCAGGTGTAAGTGCTGGCAAGGAGGGAAAAAACAACCCCTCTTTCCTCTTCCTTCCCCCTCCTTGCAAGAAGTTAACAGACAGGGGAGCAGACCCACAGGAGAATGGGCAAAGGCTCCCAACAGCCGATGGTATGCTTCTGGATTCCCTATGCACACATGAGTACAATTCACATGTCCTGTAGGTCCAGTCTCTGTACCACAATCTTGTAATGCTTTGGTTTGAGCAAAGAGAACCAGTCAGTTAAGAGAGTCTGGTATCTAGTTGTTTTTGAGGAGAGGCATCAACTTGTATGAGACAAAATCTGCCAGTTAAGAATTTTCAGAGGCTTGCTGTTCAGGCTTTCACCCCTCTACACAATTGCAGAAGGAAAGTAGGGGTGTGCTCATTGGCCCCACCACCTTCATTCTGTTCCTGAGGGCTCATAGCTATCTTGACCTCTACTGGTTTCGGCTGAGGTCCTGCAGTGGGGAGCCTTTTCTACTTCTATAGGCGCCCCACATGATTTAGGTCCCTGCGTGCTGAGAGTTCTGTGTGGCGCAGGAAGCCTACACAGATAGAGGAGGCGTCCCATGGCAGAAGTTGAGCCTGAATGTGTGGAGGACTTGGAGAGATGGCCTGTTAGGAATGTGACAGAGCACAGCCAACATCTCCCCACATCCCGACTCCCCACTCACGTGCTTTAAATTAATAAAGCTATGGAGTAAGCAAAATGGCCTTTTCCTAGTCATCACTCGTTCCTTCTCATCCATCCTTTCATTTCTGCAGAGTTCCCTTCTGGAGGTTTCTCATCACAGGAGCAGAACAGAATCGAGAGCTGAAGATGTGGTGCACTGTATCATGGACCTGCCTACAGACTGTCCGGTAAGTATTGCTCTAGTCATCAGTTGTGCGTGGTAGGAGCCTGTGATGAATGTGTGTGTGTGTGTGTGTGTGTGGAAGGATAACCGAGAAGGGCAACTAACAGTCTTCGTCCCCCTGCCAATGATTTAGCTCTGTGTTAGAGCATCTGTCTTGCATGCAGAAATCCCCAAATTCCATCCCTGGTGTTTCTAGGTAGGATTGGGGAATGCTTCTGGTTGAAATTCTGGAGAATCGGAGTAGACCGTGCTGAACTAGATGGACCAATGGTCTGATTCTGTATAAGGCGACTCTATGTACCTAAAAAGGCAGGTTTCAGCAATGCACACAACACGTCGCTAAAGAGAAAGATTATTAGTAGACATCTGAGGGAAACTGTTTTCACTGTGTCATTTTCAGATTTTCTCCGGATATATTCAGCTCCATGAGTGTCCTTCCTAGTTTGAAGGCCTGCCTGGATCTCTCAGCTGAATACCTGATTTTGAGTGATGTGCAGAGAAAGGTAGGCAAGTTCTGTTGAGAGGTTGGATGCAAGAGGAAAAGGCATCTGCTAGGCTAGGGAGTGTGGGCTCTGTGGTTAACATATAAAAGAGATGGTTGGGGCTAGCAGCAGCTGTTTGATTAAGCAAAGCATTCGGTTCCTTTTAGTGGGTGTAAACTTTTAAAAGTTCTCATTTTCAGAAAAGATCTGTGAATCCAGAATTAGTTCAGTACTGCTGACCAACTTTCATGCTGGATTTGCAGAGAGGCTGTGTGTTGGTTTCTTCCATTGTGCCTAGCCTGTTCCTTGGCCCAAGGTGCAGGTGCACACGTGTCCTTCCTGGTACAAGAGCCCCTTATTGCTTACATTACTACAGGGTATCTACCTGATGCTTTCCTCTTAGGTCTTGTATGTGATGGAACTTGTGCAGAACCAGGAGGAGGGCAAAGCTTATTTCAGCTCCATCTCAGAGTTTCTGCTGACCCATCCAGTCCTGAGTTTTGGCATCCAGGTGGTCAGCCGCTGCCGGCTGAGACATACAGAGGTCCTGCCAGCGGAAGAGGAGACTGATGGCCTTAGTGCAGGTGAGTGATAAAAGATGTGTCTCATCAAAAGTAAGGAAGAGAAAGATGACTGTCTCTCTGGTAGCTAGCCTGATTCCCCAAATGCTATGCAAGCTTTGCCTCTCTAGTCACACAAAACCATGGTTTACAAAGTTTAACTGGTTTGTCATGGTGTCTAAACCTGTAAACCATGATTGGTCATTCACCCACAAACTATAATGTGAAACCCGTAGTTTGAAGCTGACTTGAAACCTGCCATTTGGACTGAAGTCTGAATTGTTGGTTTGGGAGTCTGATTGGATGGAAACAGAAGTACTTGAATGGCTCTCAGTTTGGGTTCCCGGTGGCCACCTAGCTAATAGTTTGCCCACTGCTTTGGTCTCGGCTGTTAATCTGATGCCAATATATCAACAGTGTAAGACAAAGATGCCAAAACAGAAGCAAACAACAGATGATGCTAGATTCAGGTAGGTAGCCGTGTTGGTCTGATGCAGTCGAAATATATTTTAAAAAATAAAAAATTGTCCAGTAGCACCTTGGAGACCAACTAAGTTTGTTCTTGGTATAAGCTTTCGTGTGCATGCACACTTCTTCAGATACACTGAAACAGAAGTCACCAGACCTTTATATATAGTGGGAGGGTGGGGTGGGGTTTTTCTCAGGAGGGTAGTAGGAGATGGGTGATTGACTCAGTGGGTATGGTAAACCTGTTGATGACTGTTAATGACTGTCAGTTTTTTGCAATAGGCCAAAGCAGAGCATTTAAGGGACAGCATCCCAGGGATTCCACGGGAAGTAGGCGAGAAAACACACAGTATAAATGATGGTTTCATTGTATCTTTGGAGCACACCATGGTTTGTTTTTAAACTGCTGTTAGCACGAACCATGGTTTTGTGGGATACTGGAAAACTGTCATAGTCTTTCTTCTCAAGTGTTGAGTGTTAGATTGGTACATACCCCCTTGGCTCCTTCTGCCTAAGAGCAGGTAAGGCTTGTACTTTTGTCCCAGAGCAACCATCCTGAGCACTTCCTTACACTGTGAGCAGCCTTATCCTACTTTACTCAGAAGGTGAGCAAGGAGACTTTACCTGCTAAACATGGAAGGAAACATGTTTGTTAAAAAATATTTTGAACTGTTTCTGTTTTTACTATTTTAATATTTCTTGTAAACCACTTAGAAGTTTTATTACAACCAAGCAGTATTATATTTTGTTATAAAGAAAAATAAAATTTCATCCATTTTTTTCTTCTTCCTAGAAGGCACTCAAGGTACTGGAGCGGTAGAATCAGCAGCGGGGGTGCTTATCAAACTCTTTTGTGTCCACACCAAGTGAGTATTTTGTAGGACAGCTGTTCTCCAGGCCTGCCTTTTAATTTTGTCACAAGACTTTACTGACTTAATACAGGCTCAGTTTTTGTTAGCCCACAAGATGAGATGGTACCATAGGTAACTAACTGCCTCTTAACTGCCCTGGAGTGACCTTTCATGCATTTCCTCCAAACAGAGATAACTTTTGCTTGCTGCTCCCAAAACAGCAGTCCTGGGCTTTGTGACCAAAGGGTTACATCATAATGCAAGTGGTTCTCACCAAAATAATTCCAGTTATGTACCAAATAAACCCTCATTCTGCACTTGGAATGCAATGCAAATATTAGGTGCAGATAATGCAAACATTTTGTTGTTGGGATTATGAACATCTCTTTAATGGGGGATGTTGTGGATTGCAGGATCACAAGGCATGCGTGTGCAGGGGAGCAGTGGGGACCCAATTGCACCTGTGCATGAAGCTTTAGCAAACAAGCTACAAGTGTCAGATGCAAATGAGAAGTGACAGCGGAGTACACTGTTTTAATGGAATCTCTGTCTGCTACTGGTTTTCTTTTGCACAAAGCAACGTTGCTTGTTTAGCATGGTGTTTGCCTATCAAGGCCAAGTTTGTAAACCAAAACAATCTATCTGGATGTTGCAGGGCCCTTCAGGATGTGCAGATCAGATTCCAGCCTCTCCATAGTCCAGACACAGCTGCTCCAATTCCTCCCCATGGCTCCCATGAGGATTTTGGTGAGTCCTCTGTTCTAAAAAATGTTTGTGTTTCCTTGTTAATTTGACTATTCCATCTGATATCAAGGTAACCTAATTTGAAAGTTTGCTATGTCTCAAAGCTGACAATGGAAATTCTTGCTAGTGCTTGAGAATTCTGGATCCCAAGTCTGTTGTAGTTGCTGGGTTATTTTTGGACTGTGGGCAATCCTTTTGTCAATTGTGGTACTTCATTTCAGGAAAGGGACCTTAATTCAGTGGTAGAGTACATCAGAAGATGTATTGGCTTGTTTATTACATTTATTTATAACTAGTTTTAGTCCCTGGCATTTTCAGTTGCTGCCAGGCAGAGTAGACCATGCTGGGCTATATGAACAAAGCGTCTGATCTGGTATAAGGCATTTTGCATAGCCTAGGTTTCTCTGCCTCTGGACAAAATCTTGCCTGGCCCTGACCTTTGCTGCCGAGTCTCTGGAAATACCCAGGGACTTTGGTTTGTCTTGCAGTCTGTACCCCCACCCCTCCCCAACCTGTGTGTGTTAATATTAATTTAACTGAGTGGCTGGTGGAAGGAGGCTGTGTGGTTTTAAATGTCTGTTTTCTCTCTCTGTACAAGTTGCTTTTAAACTGTCTGGTGTATTTTGAAGCATTCCCAGATCACCTTGCTGACCTGGGCGCAGAAGGGCTTGGATCAGAGAAGGGATCCGTGCATGGCTCACAGCCTGACTTGCGCCGCATTTCAGAGCTATCTGTTCCCGTGGATTTCCTCTCCCCTTCCAATGACACAAAACCCAAGCTCATGACTCCAGATGCATTCATGACTCCCAGCACATCTCTGCAGCAGGTAACCTCCTTAGAGTGTGTTTCAGATGGGAGCAAATTCCTTTGCTGCCTTCAATTTGGACATTATAACGTAAAAGACTTGGGATTGCTTATAGCAAGAGTGGAGAACCTGTGGCCCTCCAGATGTTGCTTGGAATGATGGGACTTCTAGACTACTGGCTCTACTGGCCGGGGCTGATGAGAGTTGTCATCCAAAATATCTAGAGAGCACCATGTTGGGGAAAGCTGGATTAGATGGTGGATTAAAGAACAGAGAAGCAATTTCCACTGTTCCTTGTATATATTTTTAAGCCAGCAGTTACTCAAACCTGTTCTAAGCACTAATTGGAACTAACTACGGTATTTGACCCAATTTGTATACCACTTTGTATGCCACTTAATTGTATGTAAAACCTCTGAGCTGTTTAAAAGAATATAAAATATACGTTAAAAATGTCAGTAAAAGTCAAAGTTAAAAACAAGCTTTAAGAAAATCAGAATTGTAAGCAGAAGTAAGGAGAAGTATGGTGCTTCTTAAAATGGCAAAATAGTTTTCGGGTGGTGCCGAGTTAATTTACTCCACACACACACACACACACATATATATATATATATATATATATATATATATATATATATATAGTAGTAGTAGTACAAGAGGAGTGTTTACTAGCAGGCAATACTGTGTATGTATTCAATTAAAATGCTTGCTGGCAGAGTTTTCTAACACCATTGAATTTTCTGTGCCAGGTCACGGTGTCACCTGGAAGCAGCATTAGTTCCCTCACAGCTGTCACAACCATGAGCACTTCTTCCATCAGTGACCCCTCCATTCCCAGGTAAGCCCTAGGCAAGGACTCCTTCCCAGTGCTACCCACTGAGTACTTTCAAGGGCAAGGAGACTCCCTTCAGAATCAGGCATGAAAATGAAATGGCTCACACGGATATCTCACTGAGCTTTTTTTTAAGGCGGAGCGTCTGTCATCTTCAGAGTTGCAGCTGTCAAATGCGCTATCCCTATTCCCAAGGAAAGGCATCCCCTTTGTTCTTCAGCTCAATTCCCCAGAACATTTCCTGAGATTTGTAGGTTTTGCTTCATATAATTGGAATAAATAGCAGAGGCTGGTAATGAAGTGACCTTGTAGGCAGATAGTGGAGGATCCTAGACCTGCAGGACAGGGGAGGAACCCCTGTTCCTTGGAATATAGCTGTAGGATATAGAAGAGCACAGAGGCCGGTTCAGCATTGTTTACCAGGCAAGAACCACAAGGGGCCATTAGGCTTCAGACTGCAGTCACTGCTCTTCCACTAGCTTCTCACCACAGCTCTGAATTACTTGAGGGAATGGATGACCACCTCTTGTAGGTCCCCTTCTAGCTTTTCAGCACTCATTGTTTCAGCTTCTCCCATACAGTGTCCCCCAAGGAAGTCTTCTTTATGAGAGCGTTGCTTGGGTGACAGTCCCATAGGACAGTAAAGTCAATGGCACAGTTCCTTAAGCATGCTGTTGTCGGAACCCTTCTCCCTGGGCTGATTTTTAATTGGGGTTTGCAAGACCACTCTCTTTTGTAACCTCTATGGACAATTTTGCATTTTTCCCGCTGCAGGCCAGCTGAAGAAGTGTCTCTGAGCCCAAAGATGCAGCTGGATAGTAGCCTTACCCTAAGCGGCAGCAGTGGAAGTCTGCAGACAAGCCCTCGAAGTCATTCGGTCCTCCTCCCTGGCCTTCCTGACAAACTGACCCCAAAGGCCCCCATCCCGGTAAGGTGGATTCTCTATGAGCATGCAAAGATTTACCTTTCTCCCTGACTGTGTCATCGTCCACACGGTGTGCATGTGGTATGGGTGCCCAAAGCCACTGGAGCAGTGGGTGGGGAACCAGTCCCCCTCCCTAGATGTTACTGACTACAACTCCCATCAACCTTAACCATTGGCCATGCTGGCTAGGGCTGATGGGAGTTGGAGTCCAGCCAGCATCTTGAGACCCAAAGGTTCCTCACGCCTGCACTAGAGTGCACTGGTCTCGGGTATACTGTCTGATTTCTGCCATACTGAGTTCAAAGCATGTGTTCTTCCCCATAAATAGGAAGAGGGGGTGCCCCAACGTGGTCATTGCATGTAAAAAAATATCTTTGCTTATGTAAGCTGCCCCAAGACATATAGTTGTATCAAGCTGTGTGTTACAGATATACAGGTATTCCCCATGACATATTTTCAGTCCTGAGTTTTCTGTGCCACCTAGAATCATAGAATTGTGGCTTATCGCATGCTGTGAGGATAAAACTGGGGTAATCATATATGCTGCCCTAAACTCTATAAGGGAAAGGCCTACTAAAAACAGAGTAATAAAATGATCAGTAAATATTGCAAAACTTTTAATCTGTTTCCTCACTATGTACAAATCATCACCATGTTTTCGATTTGCTGTGTTAATTGTACTTCTTTGGGGGCATCTTCCAAAAAGCAGTCTATATATACTTAAAAGGTAAGAAAGAAAAAATGGGATTAGGAAGGAAGGTTGTCAAGACAATTGGGCATCTAAGTAAACTTCCTAGGTAGTGTGGAGAATGGAAGGGAAAAGATTAACTTTTTCCCTTCTCTGGTCAAGGTTTCCCCAGGGAATGCACCTCTTGTGCTAGAGCGGCAGGAAGTGGAGCCTCTGGTGGTGCCCCAGTCTTCGCCTACTCGTGAGCGCTCCCCAGACGTCATTTCCTCTGCCTCTACCGCCATGTCTCAGGACATCCCAGAGATTGCCTCTGAGACCCTGCAGCGCAGCTTTGGAGGCGGCCCCCCTGGGCTCCCCGCAGAGATGCTGGATTCCAACCATCACGCGGACAGTATGGCTTCCGCAGCATCAGCCTTGCACTTGCTCTCCCCGCGGAATCGTCACAGCTCGGAGCACAGCCATCACTCCTTGGACATGGCCCCCAATGAAGTGGACATGCTGACTGCGCCTTCGCTGCTGGAGGCAGCCTTACCTCAGGAAAACGTGGCTTCTGACGCTGGCGTGAGCCAACCGTGGCCAGCTGCCCCTGACATCACCAGGGAGACCAGGAACAGCATGGCGGACAGGTACCTGCTATCTCCTTCCTTTCTTTTGGGGAAGCACCAGTCTTGGCCCTCCAGATGTTTTTGGAGTCCTCTTTCCATCATCCACAGCCAGCATAGCCAATGGCTTTGGATGCTGGGAGTTGTAGTCCAGCAAGATGATGTCCAGGGTCACAAGTTCCCTACTGCTGATATGGGCCATCACATGTTGTCTTGAACTCCCATCTCCTTTCTACACTGGAAGATCAGCAGCTGCCTTATCCCCTATTTGTCCATCTGGCCCATTGAGTAGGCAGTGGTGACAGTGGCTCTCCAGGCATGTCAGGGATAGAGAGGCCTATGCCAGCCCTGTCACATGATTCTTTTAAAATGGAGATGCCAGGAATTGAACCTGGGGATTTCTGCATGCAAAGCCTGTGCTCTGCTACTTCCCCTCCACCTATTGCAGTCATGTCTAGTGTTGCATAGTGTTTATTAGATTGCCGAGCTAAGGTTGTAGAGACCCAGGTTCAAATCCCCTCTTGGCCACGAGGCTCACTGGGTGGCCTTGTTATCTCTCTGCTTAACCTAATTCAGAAGGTTGTAGGGCTAAAATGGAGGAGGAGAGTGATGTGCCTTGCCTTGGAGGCTATAAATAAAATAAGAGATAATAAGTATCCATTGACTCAATTGCTGCCTAACCCCAGCTCTACTGTTTGGCCCTTTCTTTTAATGGCTATGTTTGGTTTGAGCCCACAGGCCAGCCTGAAAGAAAATCATACTTGCTCTGGGTGTTTCGCACAGAAATGAAAGCTTCAGCACTTAATTTGCACCTGAGTGCTCAGCTCCCATCCTTTGCATGGATGAGCTCTGAGACTTCAGTACTTGCCAGAGTACCCCACTATACCAACTGTCTCGAGCCCTGAAGCCAGCAGTAGGGGTGCTACTAGTGGTCCTGCCTGTGAGTGCTGCTCATTATACAGGGGCCTGGAAGAGGGCCTTATCAGTGGTGGCACCCCAGTTATGGAACTTCCTCCACTCATAAGCATGGATTGCCACAACGTTAATGGGTTTTGCCAGACCCATTTGCTTATAAAAGCCTTTGGAGCTGATTCTGTTTTCTCCAATTCAGCCTTCTTTCTTGTTCCGTTGTTGAGGTGGCATGAAAACTGCTAAGAATTATTTTGTATACTTTGAATGGTATGATATTTAGTTTGTTTTGAGTTCTAGCCAATGTTAGTTTTGCTCAGAGTAGATGGACATAACTAACATAGGCCCATGGATTTCAGTGGGTCTCCTCTGAGTACTTATACAACCCTTTCTTACTATAGCTGTATATTTCTATGGAAGCTCACTTTGAAGTCTGTGTAACATAAAGGGGCACATAAGAAAGTTAGATAAATAAAATGAGGCAGAATAAATTCAGTGTGATGGAATTGTTTCCTCCTCTTCCCCGGTCTCCCCTGCCCTTAGCCCCAGGAATGAAGTGGAAGAAAAACACAAGAGCTCCTACCACAGGCACAGCTACCACCTCCTGCAGCATGACAGCCAGGATGCCAGCGCTGAACAAAGGTATTGGCAGGTGCCAATCCCCCTCTCTTTCCCCTTTGCAGTTTTCTGATGTGCTCAGCAGACGTTTCTGGGCACAGTGAATCAGTTGAATTTTCACCTCATTTTGCTCACTGAGGACACATGCTGCCCTCTGACCTTCTGCATGCAACAACTGGCTGCTCATAACTAGGATTTTGGATGTAGCAGATGCAAGCATACTGGCATGTGCAATACCTCAGGCTCCTTCTGCCTGTGACTAGTGCCACAGGCTGGCTAATCATGATGGTACAAAGCTGGGTCCCTTAGATAAGAGCGGAGCTATCTTTGTTAAATTTTGAAACTAGAGGCGGCTTTCTTGTAGAAGATTGTGGCAGCGTCAATTGGCGCATTACCCCAGTTCCACTTAGGTGGCTTCTGCCCCTTTTCTGTTGCTGACCAGAAGGTCTGCCTTAAGGCTGCTGTGTTGGGGCAAGTACTCATCAGGACTGGCTTCCCTCTGCAGTGACCATGATGATGAAGTTGCAAGCTTGGCTTCTACGTCTGGTGGATTTAGTGCCAAAGCAGCTGCACAGCGCCTGCCTGTGAAGGACTGGAAAGCCAAAGTGTCGCCTCGAGCATCTCCAAAGCTAAAGAGGAAGGGGAAGAAAGATGATGGGTGAGCATATGCTGCTTGGAAGGTTGGGAATGACGGCAAAGTGGAGCCTCCTTATAAGGCTGGAAACGGTGGTAGGGCTTGTATTAAGTGACCAAGCCTTTGTGAACCTGTGAAGCCTGAGGCTCTAGGTTTCCCCTCTTCTGCTCCTCCTCAGCCAGGAGGAGGAATAAATCAGGATTCTGTGCTTCTTCCCTGATTCCTGGCTTGTCATTACATACAAACCAGGAATCAGGGTTTAAAGTAAAACCTAGTTCACAAAACAAGCCAGCTTCATACGGATGGCTTGAAGGCGGCTTGTTTTGAAGCTGACTGGAATTAATTTTAAACCATGATCCCTGTTTTGCACGTATCAGCGAGCCCGGAACTGGTGAAATTAGAAATGAATCCTGCGTTTGTTCCTCCTCTTGGTCATTAGGGAGGAGGAGATGAGCAGAAGTGTAGAAAATTTGTTCTTAAGTCTTCATTCAGCTCTCTGTACTTTTCAATTGGCGTGTGTGTGTGTGTGTGTGTGTGTGTGTGTGTGTGTGTGTGTGTAGAGATCACCACCCTGTAGCAGAGCCATTTCCAAGTCAGAAAAGACACACTTTATTTTTTTGAAGCAATCAGGACATTTGTAGCAGGCCACATTTCTGGTATAATCCCCCTGGTTATGCATGCAGTGCTTGTGATGTGCAATTCACGCAGTCGTCGCATTAACATCTTCCCTTCATTTCCAGGGATGTGCAACAGTCCCCAAGAGCCTTTGATCAGCAGGTGAGTATTTTTCTTTTAGAAATTTCATATACAGCAAAGCTTTCAGTTCTTCCTTCCCAAAAGGTGGGGTGGGGAACTTTTTCTTGTGTCAGGGATCAAAAATAGGACTCTTCTCTCTCTCCCTCCTCAACCCTCTTCCTCCTAGTCTAGCAGGCTGCAGGGAGAGGGAAAAGTCACTTTTGCCAGAGATTCCAACTCACTTCTTGCCCTGAGCTTCCCTTCCTTCTATAGCTCTGTTCATTTCAGCTCTCTTTTCTCTCTCTCTCTCTCTCTCTCTCTCTCTCTCTCTCTCTCTCTCTCTCTCCATGCTCCCCTCACTCCCCACATGAAATCAGGACAAGGCGTACCAGTTCCACATTCCTGCCATGGGGGATGCCCTGCATCTCTTCCTCCTATGGAATTGTACAGATTTAGGGTTCAAAGACTCGATTTTTAAAAGGTGGAGAAGTGGGTAAATGGACACCCCCATGTCTTATGCCCCTTTTTAACATTATTACGTTCTGGTCTGATGCCTTTTGCTAAGACTCTGGCCACTGCTTTTTTATATATAGTTCACCCATCGCCAACCTAGTGCCATCCAGATGTTTTGGGGTACACCAAGTCAATTACAGCTGTTATAGATTGTCCTCATCCATTGTCTAAATTCCTTTTGGGAATCCAAAAGTGAAGGATTATGTTACCATATTCCTCCACTAGGATACTCATCTGAGCCTGGGACTTTCTGCACCTTGAGATTTGCTAAATTTGCTTTGTTTGCCCTTCTCTGAAGTGGCTCCCTATCATTGAGTTGAACTCTTTATGTTGCTGCCTCCCATGTAACACAGAGAGGATCCACTGAGAGTGCTTGGAGTGCTTACATTTCCCCTGCCTCCTCTTCCATTAGGTCGCTCCTGAGTACCAGGATGAGCTGTTGTCTCTTCTGAGGACCCAGCAGAGGGAGATTGTTGAACTGAGACAGAACCAGATGGAACTCATGCAGAGGCTCACCGACCACCTGGATGCTGTGCAGAGCTCCCTCATGGGCCACATTGAGCGAGTGGTGGATTCCCAGCAAGAGCAGGAGCGTATCCTTCCCAGAAAAGTGCCTTCTGGGCCCTTCTCTGTCATGGGTTTGTCCCATTCAAAGCTGAGCGCTTATGAGGAATGTGGCCAGTTTCTGTTGGAATCCCTGATACTTTTTAAAAACCACATGTTTAAATATAGCTGACTGCCTTCTGGAGTGAAGGGAAATGTCCATTAAATTTTATTGTGTCTAGTTTAGCCATTACTCTGTCCCGGAGTGGGGAACCCCATTCCCAAGCCCCGCCTCTCATCAGTCCTACTCCATGCTTTTGAATGCTTTTGCTTAGCTGGAATAAAGACACTGGCCTCCTGCTTCTCTGGGTGAACAGCAGAGAAATTGGGGGCAGGGGATGTGTGTGTGTGTAAAAGCTCTTAACTTTTGCAAGGCTGGAATGTTGCCTGCTGTCCAAAGGCAGGAGTTGTATCCATTGCTCCACCCACTTTTTTTCTCTCTGGCCACACCCACCACCAACATTTGGCCCCCAGGAGATGGCTGCCAAGGAAATGTGGCCCTTGGGCTGACAAGGCTTCCCCGCCCCTGAAATAAAAAGAGTGACAGAGGAGAAAATATCCAGCAAACAAAAACCCATACCAGTCTAACAAAGAAAACGCGTGATATTCTTAATATTAAATCATGATTAATTTTAGAATGCATTGGAACAATGAGTGCAATATAATGTGTTGATCGTGCACACCTTTTAAGACCTTTGTTATATTTGTCCATATAATTTATTCCATAGTTTCCTCTCTTCCTTCAGTGGTGGAGGTTATCCAGGAATGGGCATTTCTGCCTTCTCTCTCTTTGTAGGTAAGGCTAAACAACTGCCTTAGTGCTTGGGTCCCCTTCAATGAGAAGAGCCCCTTAAGTTCCAGTCCTGAAAGAAAAGGCGTGAAATACCACTTGTAGAAAATAAAACTAAATATATACTGTTAACCTTCATTATGAAAAGTTTTTTAATGGAAAACATCCAGGTCCTGCTTGCTATAAGCTTCTGGTTGGCCACTGTGAGAGCAGGAAGCTGGACTTAGACGGGCTTTTGGCTTGATCCAGCAGAGCTCTTCTTAGGTTCTTACATTTGTATCCTGCTTTTCTTCCAAGCACTCTTCTATTTTTTTCCTTGCAAAAGCCCTGTGAAGTAGGGTTTATACTCCAAAGGCAATATATGCAGATAGGTGTATATAAAAACATTTTTTTCATTTCATTTTTGCTCATGTTGGTGGCAGCAGTGCTGGTAAGGTATGAGGAATGAGGATCCCACCTGATGGTTTGGGAGGAAGCTGCCCCATGCTAGGTCAGGCTGTTGATTATCTAGCTCAGCAGCGGCTGTCCACATATTTCCATATCTCCCAGCACCTGCTGCATCTTCCTTTGTAGCCGGAGGTGGCAGAGACCATTCGTATGCCATGCATGTCCCCTACCACAGAGCCATGGTCTCTCCCTTTGCTTTCCTTAATTCCTGTGGTTTCAGAGCGGAGGCTGGACCAGGCCTTAGCTGAGGGACAGCAGCGCAGTGGGCAACTGCAGGAGCATCTGTCCCAGCAGCTTTCCCAGTCCCTCTCCACGGCTGCCTGCAACCGGCTGGAAAGGACCATCCGCGAGGAGATGAAAAAGACGGTGCCCCCGTGTAAGTCCCGCATCTTGGATTCTGATCAGTTTGCAAGACAACAAAGGAGCTGCTTCTTTGGAAGTAGAGCAGCCTTCTCCATCCTGCCCCACCCCCCGATGCTTTAGACTACAACTCCCCATCGGTGCTGGCTGGGACTGATGGGAATGTTGGTCCATCTGTAGGGCACCAAGCTGACAAAGGCGGCAGTAAGTGGTTATCCTGTGGTGTCCAGAAAGCTTTCTGGCATGGGGTTTGGATTTTGAAGAGAAAAACAGGAAAGGCAATGCAGCCAGCCCAGTGAAGATCTGGGTTCCCAGGATTTGCTGAGAGCAGAGCCCGAGAGTTTTCTCTGCTGCAGATAAGCGACCCATTCCAGTTTCTTTCTCCCTGGAGAGTTAACAAAGCAGGAAGGGTTGATGCCATTGTTTCAAGGGATGGTCCATGCATGGACCTCTCCCAAGGTCCTCATATATTTCTTCATTTATTTAAGAGAGATAAAATGGGGGCATGACTTTTGTTTTGCTGTCTCTCTGCTAACAAGGCGTTTCCAAGACTTTGGATCCCATCACTGGGCAGCTGAATAACACCATTGCCACCAAGCTTACAGCCATTGAGGGGACACTGAAGGAGAACGTCACCAAACTGGTGAAATCAAAGGTAATGGGTGGGGTTGGCTGCTGGGAGCAGATCCCTGCCAGTTTGACAGGGAGGGAAGGTGGTTTGTGGTGCTGGGGTAGCGAGTTCTGGTCAGGCTGCCCATTTAGCTGCAACACTGCTGCCTCCTAGCGCCTTTTCAAGGTGTTGATGTGCTAGGCCAGACATCGGCTCATATTTTTGATGGCTGTGAAACCTTTTTAGACCAGAAACCTCAGTAAACGGAGCTGTGATTGTGTTTTGATTGCAGAACCTTACAGATGCCATTGCCCGGGCGGCTGCCGATGCCTTGCAGGGCCCCATGCAGTCGGCATACAGGGAGGCGTTCCAGAGTGTGGTGCTTCCTGCTTTTGAGAAGAGCTGTCAATCAATGTTCCAGCAGATCAATGACACCTTCAAGCAAGGCACACAAGAATGTATGCCCCACTCTCTGCTTCTCTCCTTTTCAGCTTTGTATACTGTCAGTCGTGGGAAACACTAGTTTACAGAACTGTGGGGCAAAGAAGAGCCTCCAGAAAGCAGGAATGCCCTTTTGAAAAGCCATCATAATATCCAATAGCCTTGATAGGTTTCTCTTTCATGAATCTGGAGGGGTGTGTTTCTTAAGGCTACCAGCTACTATGGTTAAATGGAACATCCCATGCTTGGAGGCTACCAGAAGGCTATGTAGAAAGACTCATACCTCTTTCTCCAGCATGTCGGCTTCCTTGAAGCAGCTAAGTAGTGTGGGAACAGAATTCTGGGCTATGTAGACTTATAGTCCAGTGATGGCTGCTAGCTGGGACTGCTCTTAAGGTGATAAAGCTGCAACACCTTTTGTCAAGCTCAGGCCTAAGCAGCTGGTGCAGAACACAGGAGTGGCACATCACTCCAGTCCTACAGACTCTTTTCCTGTTGCTTTTAGGGTACAATTCATGGTTCAGATTTTGACTGATGAAGTCCCTCCTTGACTTGAATAGCAGTATATTTTGGAACCTGCTGGCTCCATGAGATCCCTTCTCGTTCTCCTAAACTACAAGTGCCTTCTTAGCAGTACCTTTTATGACAAAAAGGGTGAACCAGGAGGCATTCTCAGTAGTTGCTTCAAGACACTAGTGCCCTCTCCATTTGAAAAATATGCCTGAGCATCCCTTGAGAAGGTCTTTCTCTTCAGGTCAGCTTTTAGGAGTCAGGGTTCAGCTGGTAGATCAGGATACCTAATACTTGTTAAATCTTTAAGGTTCTTGAATGGGGTTCAAATGGAATTGTTAGTGAGATGCTTTCTCCTTTCTTACTGCCCAGAACCTTTGAGAATGGGGCAATGCTCCTTGTAAACAGTCTTGTGGTTGCCATTGGATAAACACAACCAGCAGTTTAGGCAATGGCCCAAATCTCTCTCGAGCATTTTCACATTGTGCATTCAGAAAACCCCTGTTCCTCAGCAGAAATAAAAAAGGTGCCTTAGATCAGGGGTGGGAACCTGCATCTCTTCAGATGTTACTGGACTATAACTCCCATCATTTCCTGCCTGCATGGCCCAATGGCCAGGGATGATGATGATTTTATTATTTATACCCCACCCATCCGGCTGGGTTTCTGCAGCCACTCTGGGCAGCTTCCAGCACATATAAAAACATAATGATGGGGTTCATAGTCCAGCAACACCCAGAGGACCACAGGTGAGGCCCATCCCTGCATTAGACAAAACTCCTGTGTGTTTTTTCGTGCCTTGCTGAAGAGTTTACAGTATGAAGGCTTCGGGAACATGAAGGGGAGTTGGATTTGAGGGTGATGTGGTAGAGAGGCCAGAGGCTGTGGGAATGGACTCCAATGGTACCCAGCTGGCTTTTGAGTAATTGTGAATCTTCTCTTGCAGATATTCAGCAGCTGGAGACCCACATGAAGAGTAAGAAAGCGCGAGAGCAGGATGCCCGGGACTCTGTGGTGAGCCAGCTCCGGCAGCTGGTCAACAACTTCCAGAGCACAACTGATCAGCTGGCAGCCACCATTACGGCCAGCATGCACTCCGAGGTGCAGCATCAGCTTCACGTCATCGTGGGCAAGTGAGTGGCAGAGCAGATGGGGGCATCTCCCATAGAAAGAAGGGCAAAACAGAGAGTCTTGCGCCAGATTAATAGCAGTGGGTCCTGAGATCTGCATGAAACTGACTCATCTGATCCTTCACATATAATGAGAAAACAGGGCACACACCCACTTTGAAATTCCCCTGCCCTGCCACACTGGTCATAAGCAGTGCAGTTTTCTGTTCATACAAGCTGGGCAATATCAGTATTGGAAGCTTCCCTACGTCCAGGGTCTTCTCTGCTCTGTCTTGGGAAGGGGCACAATGTTCAGAGAACGAAATGGGAACGTTATCTGGAATTATGTACAACCAGTCTCTTGCTCCTGTAGACTTCCCACTTCTGTCCCCCCACCGCTGCCCCCCTGGATCTACACAGCCCCTCCAAGTTCCCTTCTTCCCCTTCTCTCCAGCATGCAGGAGTCCATCCTGGCCCAAGTCCAGCGGGTGATCAAAGGGGAGGTGAGCATGGCCATGAAGGAGCAGCAGGCTGCTGTCACCTCCAGCATCATGCAGGCCATGCGCTCTGCTGCAGGCACTCCAATCCCTGCCACTCACCTCGACTTCCAGTCCCAGCAGGCTCACGTGTTACAGCTGTTGCAGCAGGGGCACCTGAATCAAGCCTTCCAGCAGGTACGCATCTCTCCAACCATAGAGGCAACACACTGGCCACGCAACTGCTCTCTGAAGGACCCAGATGGCCACATCCTCAAGGAAGCAGGCACAAAGCTCAGTTAGAGAGAGAACTGTGAGGTTTTTAAAGAGAAGAAACCCATGACTCTCCAGGTGTTGCTGGACTCCAACTCCCATCAGCCCTGACCAGATAGTCAATGGGCTGGGATGCTGGGAGTTGTAGTCCCAACAGCTTCTGATGGATCACAGGTTCCCCATCCTTTTTGGAGGCATCTTTCTGGGAGTCACAAAGGGGCAGCTGGTGGTCTGCCTTAGAACCAGCAGGGGGCGCCCAGAGCAGCTGTCTTATAGTTCAAAGTGCATCATTTAAGCATGACTACGTAGCCCTGCTGGTGCATATATAACCAATCTATATGTTGTCTGTTCAAGGCAGTTTAGCATGGATTAAAAGTTGCTGTGTCTTTCATACTTCCACTCAAGTTTGAGGAAAGGGTTGTTTTCCATCAGTGTTTCTAAGTCTGTGAGGTTTATAAGATAGGGTCTGGTGTGGAGAAAGTGGATAGAGATATTTTTTATTCTTCTCTTATTGTAGTAGAACTTGGGATCTCCCAGTGAAACTGACTGGCAGTATTCAGAGGGATTGCTGTGTTAATCCGTTGCAACAAATACAGCAGAGGCTTGTGGCACCTTTTTAGAGACCTAACACATTTATGACGCCATATGTTTTAGTGGACCAGACTCCACTTCATCAGTTGCACAAAGTGTAATCCTAAATTGGCCGCTATATATACATGCACACAGTTGGATGGTGGTATGTGTGCCAACAGCAATAGCAGGCTATTTAACATCAGTCACTCATTTGTTTGTGTCCTGCTTTTCCACAAGATGGTATCCAAAGCGGCTTTCAGCAATGTATGAACAAAACGGCCAAGAGTACTGTGTTATTGTGCTCAAAGCCGTATTCAGCCATATTGAGCTTCTCTAGAAATGTAGATTTCTAACCAGGGCACTCTCTTCTCTCTACAGGCTCTCACTGCAGCAGATTTGAACCTAGTCCTCTACGTCTGTGAGACAGTTGACCCTCAGCAAGTGTTTGGGCAGCATCCTTGCCCCCTGTCCCAGCCTGTCCTCTTGTCTCTCATTCAGCAGCTCTCCTCAGATTTGGGAGCTCGGACAGAACTGAAACTGAAGTGAGTATCGCCCAGTGGTGCCTAATGGTAGATGCAGACTTTCCTTCCACAGGGAAGTGGCAAGTGCTTCCTACACCAGGGCCCTGTATGTTCCGCCCTTTAAAATGCAGACAAAATTCCTGCATCTGGGAAAAACTTGCGTTATATATCTTACTTTGTACAAGTCTGTTTTTGCTGGCCATGGAAGGATGCCGTGCAGGACACTAAAGGCCCAGCTGCACCTGCTAGACATCTTATTCAGCTATCTCTTATTTCTGAGTTTAACAGATGTTGTACCTTCAAGTGCATCTTTGCATCCATAAGGTCTGGAAACTTGCTTTCTTCACAGAAAAAACTGAGAAACTTGGGGAGCTCAATTCTGCCCATTCCCTACACATTCATGGAATGTCATTGTATACACATGCCTGCAGTTTTGCAGCCATGATCACAGCCGTGCTGTGCTCTCTCTCTCTCTCCTTTGCAGTTACCTGGAGGAGGCAGTGATGCATCTAGACCACAGCGACCCCATCACCCGCGACCACATGGGCTCTGTGATGAACCAAGTGCGGCAGAAGCTCTTCCAGTTCCTGCAGGCAGAGCCTCACAACACCCTGAGCAAGCCGGCCCGCCGACTCATGATCATGCTTCAAGGCCTGGTCACACCCAGCATGTCCTAACAAGGCTCCAGCAGCCTCTCCACAAGGGCGTCCATCATTGCTAACCAAATGTGGCTTTTTCTTTTCTTTTTCTAATGCTCTTGCTGGGAAAATACGTCCGCGCTACAGATGTGTGGGATGGATAGAAGGGTCTGAGCCCCAGCTGTGTTAGCCCCGTATAATCCAGTTCTTTTCTGTGTGAGCAGACCATGGCCCTACCCACCACCTGCCTCTCTTTGTACTGTACAAGTTAGATGCGCAGACACTAATCCCATCTTCCTCCTATTTTCTAGCTTGGAGCCCCTCCCCAAGAATTTGAGGGGTTTGGCAGAGCTTGGCAAGCCTTGCCCTTTTGTTTCAGGAGTACCCTGCCAAGGTAGTCGGAGGTCAAAGGTGCCAGCGGGTTGTGAGTCACAGCAGCCATAGTGAAGTATTGCCTCCACCTGCGCGGCTTGTGGGTGAGGGATGAAAAGTTCATGAAGCCCACCCGTCCTGGGAAGCAGCGTTGGTTCTTTGTGTGGTGGAGCATGTTCATGAGTTAGACAACTCCTTTCATCATTATTATTATTTTGCTTTTACACCACTTTTTTCCTTTTTATCTAGACTCTTAATCTTTCATTTTTGAATAATGTTTAACAAGTTCAATAAATGACTTTTTTGGAGGAAAAAAAACTGCTTCTGTTTCGTTCTGGGCCTGGTGGAGGAGCTCACTCTCTTAGTCAGCGCTGGTCACAGTGCAACTGATGGGTAGGAAACTTTGAGGCCCTGACCCGATATGGCCTACAGCACTCCTCCTCCCCCTCACCCCTGCATGCTGCAATTAGGCCTGAAAGCAGCCTTTGAGCCAATAGGAAGCTGTTTTCAAGCCTAATTGCTTTGGGAAGGAACCTTGCGGGGTTGCCTTTAGGTAGGTAAGGGTTAACCCTCTCTGTGTGCTGTGCCTCTGCCAAAATCCTCCCCAAGTAGTCTTGGAAAAGAAGTTTCATTGTCCGAGAGGCTGTTCTGAAATGTATAGATGTCCAGGGTGGGGACTTGACGCCTAATTGTCTCTCCATAGGGGATAGTCCCCAAGCTTGATGATTGTTGCTGGGGGGCGGGGGGCGTGTATGTGTAAAAGTAGCGGGGCATTGATATGTATGAACAAATGTACTTATTGGCAAGCAGCCCCCAGAAGGTTAGCTATGAAGAAATGTGACCCTTTGGCTGAGAGATTTATCCCTCTGGAATTGGAAAGGCTTTTTTTTTTTTAGCAAGACTGCTTGTTGAAGGTGCATTTCCTCCCCCTCTCCCAGTTATCAGAGCCAGAGGGCCCGTCTCCATGAACCCTGTTGAATGTACAAGTCATTCATTCAAAGAGAAGCTTCATCATGCCATGTTTATTTAACCACAGCCTCAGCTATTCCTCTTGCCTCTTCCTCATGGCATCCCTCATTACATTGCTATCAGTCCCATGGTGGGGAGCCTCTGTGACATCTGACATGCATTTTCCTGGAGTAAACCTTCAGCCGTCTTCTTACCCCAGCCCTCCTTTTAAATCCGTCTGTATCCTTGTCGGTGTTGTTCTTTACGGACACAAACCTGATACAAAAAATCACAGCTAGAATGTAATGGACACTTTTGCCGACACTGGAACATCAAGCAGGATACTGATGGCCCAGACTGAGAGGGGATGCACAGTGTCAATGGCTGAAATTTAATTAATTCAACTGCACCCCCAAAATTAAACAACTGCAGGTCACCAGCTGTTGGCTCCTTCCTCAGTATTTCATTAGTTCAATGCATCTCCCCTTTTTTGTGACTCTAGAGCCCCCAGTTGCTCCCAACCCAAGAAGCAAGAAAGCCATTTAACAGGCTTTATAGCTGTGACAAACCAATGAGATTATTCCTGTTGCCAGGGCATCAAGCTTTTTGTGGGCTAAGGCAGATGTTGCAGCATCCAACATCCCTGGGATACATTTTTTTTAATCACAAGTAGAACAAGAAAGCTGCTGTGGAGAGGGTTTTTCTTTCACCAGAACACATGGTGCTGTTTGAATATTGGAGCATGCTTTTTTTCTTGTTCTTCCTACCACTGTCTAAAATGTGCTTGGGACCACTTTGCAAGTCTGCTTTTCCACCTGCGCACATGCAGTGTACTCTGAAGCAATACTTGCTATGAGTTTCTTATGGTTTCTTCTGCAACCTGGGAAAACCTAGAAGTCATCATATAAACCCAATAGATCAGTAATTCCAAAGTTCAAAACAAACTCTTGGGAGCTGTTGATGTAGATGATGCATGTTTACATACACAATAAAATTCCTCTATACATCCTGAAAGTTAAGCCAATCCTTGTAAGGCCTTAAGATAGTATGTAATCTCATATATAGGATTATTCCATTTGTTTTTATACCAGAGCATCACATCTGACTCCTGTAATATTTTCCATTTTTGTACAATAGATAAATGCACAGCAACTAGTAAAAATTTACAAGTTATTTACATGCATGTGTATATGTGTAATTTATTAGATTTATATATTATATCTAAAATATCACACAAAATAAAAGCACAAATAAATAGTTAAAACCAAAACAACAAAGCAATAACCGCCTCCCACGAACACATTTAAAGGTTGTAGAATACTAATCAGTCAGCAGTGTCAAACAAGATTTCATATTATTGAGATCTGAACTGGGGGTCCTATATCATCTATGTTAAATATTTAGGTTTTCCTAATATTTGCCAATATAGATATTACTGGCTTCTCCAACCTGACTCCCCCCCCCGCTAAATCTAGCTTTCAAATTTGTCTATGAAATAGTTTCCAATCCTGTCCTTGGGCCCAAAATAACATTAAATAATTCTGCATAAAGTTCAGCAGCCAATCCTTTCCCGGAATAAACCCTATTCAATATAATACCCTCTGAACTTGTGTAAGAAGCCAGGGAGTCTGGGCACGGATCTGAGGGTCTGACAACAAATGAGATACCGTACTTGACGTAAATGCAACCCACCCATGCCCAGGTCTCCAGTCTTCACAAGGAGTTGTTCCTGAGTAACAGGCTTGGGTTTTTTTATATAAAAATCCCTCATTGTAAAAGACCATTTAACCTCCCATTTCAATACCACTTCCATTACATTTATGACTCATTCCTAAAACATCTTGAAGTGATTTAACAATAAAAACAATTGTGTGTGCGTGTTTGTGTGTGTGAAGAGGCTGGAGCCAGATAGCAGTTGGGAATGAGGGCTTTAGGGATTAAAGTATATTCTGAAGGGAAATATCCCTTTCCCAGCTGGCTTCTGTGCCAGGGCTGGGGGTGGGGAAGGGCTGAGATGCCTGCCTCTCAGAGGCTGGCCGGCTTGCTCAGATCTGATAGCAAGTGGGGTGCAGGCTAGCAAAGAAGGGCAATTCTCTCATGCATCCGTCTTCCTTATTGAGGCAAGCCCCATCAACCGCAAGCTGCCCTCTTCCAGCCCACACCTGCCTGCCTGCCTGCTCACTTGCATCCTCCGGTCCATGGGGCGGCACTCACGGTCAGCTTCCTCTCCCTCAATCTCAGTGTTGCCATTGGATAAGACAGTAGGGAAACAGGTGTAGACAAAACTAGGATGAGTTGGCTCTGCCTAAGAACAAGGATAGTGTTCTTAGTGTTGGTTGGATAGTGATAGTGTTCTTAGTGTTGGTTGGATAGTGTTTTCGAGGTTACCAGCATGAGTTTGACCAAACTGCGGGAGGTAGTGGAGGACAGAGGTGCCTGGCGTGCTCTGGTCCATGGGGACACGACTAAACGACTAAACAACAACAAGAACAAGAACAAGGAAGAGTCTGCTGGACCAGGCCAATGGCCCATCTAGTCCAGCATCCTGTTCACACAGTGGTTGAATAGTTGCCTCTGGAACCAAGCAAGCAGGATTTGAACCCAAGAGCACTCTACCCTCCTGTGGTTTCAAGCAACTGGTATTCAGAAGCATTGCTGCAGCTAGTAGCCACGGATAGCTCTCTCCTCTGTTAATTCCCATTCACGTTGGTGGCCATCACTGCCTCCTGTGGAAACCAGTTCCATATGTGCTGCCTGAGGGAGTGCTTTCTTTTGTCCAGAACATCTTCCAACATTCAACTTCGCTGCATGTCTACACGTTCTAATTTTGTGAGATGGAGAAAAGCTTTTCTCTATCCGCTTTCTCCATGCCAGGCATCATTTATCCATTTCTATCATGTCACCTCTTTCTCACCTTTTCTCCAAACTAAACATGGCAACCTTTCTTCACAGGAGAGTCACTCCAAGCCCTTGATCATTTTGGTTGCCCTGTTTGGAAACTATTCCAACTCTATACTATCCCTTTAGATGTGAGGTGACCAGCACTGTGTACTGTATTCCAAATGTTGTTGCACCATAGATTCATATAATGGCATCATTTTTATTTCCTAAGGATGCCTAGTATGAAATCTGCATTTTTCATGACTGCCACAAGCTGGGGCGACATCTTCATTGAGCTATTTACTATGACCTCAAGGTCTCACTTGTGGTCTATGGACTAGGAGTGGACACGTGGGCACATTTTTGCACAGATCATGTGGCTCTGGTTGTCATTGGCTCTGGTTTCACATACTGTTTAGGCCAAGTTCAAGTAACTTATTGCACTAGCGGGAGCCAGCACAGTGATTCCTGCTAGAGCAATGGGAATTCCCTCTCTCCTCCCCCAAGTTCCCTCCCAACTATATCCTGCTCTGGAGGGTTGGGAGGATACCCAAAAATAGATTTGGGGGGCACGCTGGGGTGGGGGTGGGGAAAGAGGTTCCAATCTGCACGGAAAATCCTTGTGCTGATGGAACTCCATGGCCTTAGCGCTACATTGAAGGCAACCTATTGTCTCCCTGCCTTCCTCTGCACTTGTCAGTCCCCCTGCCTAAATCCGACTAACCCTACTGTGTAGGGTGGCTGCCTAGGCAACTAATTGTTAGCTATTTTATTTGTTATTAATATTGTAACCAACTAAGTTCTACTCAGAGGAATACATGGAAGTTAATAGACACGACTAATTCAGACCCATTAATTTCAACAGGTCTACTCGGAGTAGAACCTAAAACGGTTTTTATGGCCAAGAAGGGGAGAGGTGCTTGCAGGGTTTTCTGCTCCAAGTGTTAAAATAAGTTGGCTGGATTTGGCCGTGATTTTGGTGGTGCTAGGTCGTCGGGCTATTTGCTGCTCCCTGATCTAAGCAACGCCAGCGCCCTAGTTGTCGTTGTCGTTGCCGCCGCCGCCGCCGCCGCCTCCTCCTCTTTCTCCCCTCCATCTGGACCAGCCGCTTCGAGGGTTGAGGAAAGAGCAAGTTTTTACAAGCTTGCCGCCCGGGCAGCCACGGCACTGCGGATCCGGCGGGGCTAGAGACGTTAAGACGGGGCAAAAGAGAGAGAGAGAGAGAGAGAGAGAGAGAGAGAGAGAGAGAGAGAGAGAGAAAACTTCAGTTCCTCACGAGCTGCAGTGCAGGACGACGACCCCAGGAACTTGCACGGATCCTGTGCCTTTTGAGAATAGTTTGCTCCAGGTCTCCGCGCGCGCGGCAGCAGCAGACCAACAGGGCGCTGGGCAAAAGGCGGGTGCGCGGAGCAGCTCCACCTCGGCCCGCTCCTAGAGGCCGCGAGGCGCAGCTCCGCGGGCCGGATCCGAGGGGCGGGGCGCGGGGGCGGGGTCGAGAGGGGAGGCGCCTGGCGCCGCTCGGCTTCTTGTTCTCCCGCCTGGCTCCGCACTGAGCCGCTGCTGCCGCTGGAACTGGGCGCCGGCACCACCATGGGCTGCCGGGCGCTGCTGGGGTCCTTGGCGCTGTTGCTCCCGCTGCACCTGGGTGAGTATCCGAGATGTGTGCTCGCGTCTAAGCAGGGCGGCGAGTGTGCAACGGGAGTGCAAGAGGCAAGGCGAGGGAGTTGAGTGTGCAAGCTGCCAGCCGTGTAAGGGGTGGGGGGAGAGGGCAGCCCGGCGCTTGGAGGAGAGTGCAAAGGGGGCAGGAGAGAGGCGCGCAAAGTCTTTCGAGCAAAGGAAGACCGCGAGCCTCGCTGCGCCTGCTTGGTATCTCGGGAGCGGGGCTTGCGTCCCAGTGGGCGCGGATCGGCTTGGGCTGCACGTGTGTGTGATGCTCGCGATGAAAGAACGAGCAAAATGATTTTCCATAGGGACAAATGTCAGGTTCTACACTTAGGCAAGAAGAACCAGTTGCACAGTTATAAGGCGGCGGACACCTGGATTGGCAGTAGGACATGCGGAAAGGAACTAGGGGTCTTAGTAGACCACAAGCTGAGCATGAGTCCCCAGTGTGGTGCAGCAGCAGAAAAGGCTAGTGCTATTCTAGGCTGTATCAACAGAAGTATAGTGTCCCGAACAAGGGAAGTCATAGGACCGCTCTATTCTGCCTTGGTCAGTCCACACCTGGAATACTGTGTTCAGTATTTAAGAAGAATTGACAAGCAATTTAAGAAGATTGACAAGCTGGAACATGTGCAAGGGAGGGTGACCAAGATGATAATGGGCCTGGAAATCAAGCCTCATGAGGAACGGTTGTGGGAGTTGGGTATGTTTAGCCTGGAGAAGAAGAGATTGAAAGGAGATAAGATAGCCATTTTCAAATACTTAAAGGGCTGCCACAAGGAGGATGGAGCAAGCTTGTTTTCTGCTGCTCCGGAGGCTAGGACCCAAAGCAATGGATTCAAGTTACAAGAAAGGGAATTCCAACTAAACATCAGGAAGAACTTCCTGACAGTATGAGCTGTTTGACAGTGGAGCAGACTCCCATGAGAGGCGGCAGACTCTCCTTCCTCTGGGGTTTCTAAGCAGAGGTTGGGTGGCCTTTGTCCGATGGTTTTGTAGAGATTCCTGCATTGCAGGGGGTTGGACTCGATGACCCTTGGAGTCCCTTCCAACTCTACAATTCTGTGGCAAGTGTTCGTGAAGATGCTGCTGCTTGGTTCTGCCCCCGCGCGCCGGTGCATCTATTTTTGTGATCTAATGGCAAAAGTGCATTACTTAAGGATGTAAGCCCCATTTAAGGGGCTTAAGGGTCCCTTAAGGATGTAAGGGACCCTCAGCTCATCCTGCTAAATAGGACCCAGAACACCGGCCTCCAAGTCCTGCCCTGCAAAGCTCGGAGCGCTTTAGACTGCCTCCCCCCCCCCCCCCCCCGCCCAGGGCTCCGCGCCAGGAGGATCTCCCTGCTTCCTGTCTGCGGTCTGCCTGCTATGAATGGAGGCGCCGTGCGCGCCTTCTCCTAAGTGTGTGAACACCGGAGACCAGCGTTCCGATCCTCCCCTCAAACCCCGGGTGCGTTGCCAGGCCAGCAGGGGAGACCTCTGGCTCGCCAGTTTGTTCTTCGGCTCCTTAGAAACCCTGCGCGCTCGTATGGAAGGAAGCCCTCTCCCGCGGTGCCTTTTCTTCAGCACCACGGTCTCCAACAACCGGTCCGTTTTCTGGTGGTATGGATCAGCCTTCTCCAACCCAGTGCCTTTCAGATGTTGTTGGACTACAACTCCCATCATCTCTGACCATGCGGCATGTAGGGGCAGGTGGGAGTTGGAGTCCAATGAACATCTGGGGGAGCAGCAGGTTGGAGAAGTTTGGCACAGCTGCATCCTCCGTCACGTTGGCAAACAAAGGATGTGGAATCCTACATTGTGGTTGTATCCAGTGTTACCCCTACGCAGAGTAGACTTACTGGAATTAACTGACATGACTTAGGTCCATCAATCTCAATGTGTCTACTAGGAGTATAACTTGCTTGGGTACAATCCAATATTTCTAACAGATTGCTTCACATGTTGAAAGCACTCTCCCCCCCCCCCACTTTTTTTTGCATGATCAAGGTGGAGAAAAAGGGGGTTGAATTTATTTCCTTTTTCCTCCCCCCCCCTTCAAATGCCTTCCTATGGGTGGACTGGTATTTTGAATTTGTTCTGGGGTGGGGGTGCCAGTCTGCTACAGCAAGCATAACAGAAAGTCTAATGGCCCCTTAAAAGACTAACAGGTTTGTTGTGGCAGCACTTTTAATGAGTGTGTGTGTGTGAGAGAGAAGCAGGGTGTCCTTGTTAATCTGGAATCTGGAGCAAGAGGGCACCACATTGCCATACAATTGCCCAGAATGGATCCCCTGGGGGTTTACCGGTGGAGTTGGAGCTGTCTTTAGCTCAGCTTGGCAACGTCTTTTCAGACGGATGGAGTTTTCATTGTGGCTTGAATCGTGGCGTTTCAGTTGAGCTTGGCATAACTGGCATAGAGTTATTTCCTGACGCTGAAAAGACGGTCAGTGACCCCAATGTGCCCCCAGTTGCAGTGATGTATCTGTGGATGGGGGGGGGGAGGGAACAATTCCAGCAATTGTTGCTTCTGATTGTATTGCAAAGTATGTTGCATTCCACCCGTCTAGACCTGTTAAAATTAATGAACATTACTGATGTAGGACTGTTTGTTTCAGTGCATCTACCCTGAGCAAAAGTTAGTTAATTACAATCCTTTGTTTGTTCCTCTAGCCCAGCATTAATTATTTATCATTAGGGGAAAGGCTGTAGCTCAGTGGTTAGAGCATCTGCTTTGCATCTAGAAGGTCTCAGGCTGACTCCTTGGCATCCCCAGGTGGGGCTGAGAGAGACCTCAGAGTGAAACCCTGAGTGTAGTTCAGGGGTTCCCAAGCTGGTCCATGGACTACCAGTTGTATTCAGACTTCAGCACAGCACATTATAGTTGCTACAATTGTCAGAAAAACCCTTAAGTGGTCTGCCAAGGTCCTCTGCAATTTTCAGGTGGTCCATGTGGGGAAGAGATTGGGAATCCCTGGTGCACAAAATTCTGAGTTAGATGGACTGATGGACTTACTTGGAATACAGGAAGCTGCCATATTATGATGTGCTATTTTTCTTCCATCCTTTCTTCCCATTTTATCATCACAACAACCCTGTGAAGTGGGCTAAACTGAGAGTGTGGCTAGTTCAGCATCACCCAGGAGACTTCATGACTGAGCAAAGGTTTGAACCCAGATCTCCTGGCTTCCAGTCTGTTAATCTAGCTGCTTTGTTGTGTAGTCTGGTAGCTGATCTTCAGGATCCCAGGCTGGTTGTCGTTCTACCTGACCCTTTTACCTGGAGATCTGCTAAGGGATTGAATGTCAGGCCTTCAGCATGCAAAGCATGTGATCTGCCCCTGAGCTGTGATCCCTCACATTCAAGCATAAATTGCAAGATCATCTCTAGAACATCTGTTGTAGTTGGTTATTTGTAATAATCAGAAATAGTTGGCAAAAGCTGGCATAACTATTCATGGAATATTTCACACCTTGTTTTGGTTATCCTCTTAGGCTGTGATCCTGTAGACATTTACCTGAGTTCAACAGTACTTACTTCTGAGTATACCGTATATGCCTAGGGTTGTGCTGTCAATCTGTCTTATTGCCCTGCCATAGTGGCACTCTCTGGTTTTTGCCCAGCCTGGGGTGTGGCAGTATCAGTTTGGAAAGGACAAGAATGAATGAGGATTTGCAGTGCAGCTGACATTTGAGACTGAGTACACTCTTGTTCTGCCCCCTCTCCAACGTCAGGGCAATGTTCCCAGTGACCGACAGGCAGTGAGGTAATTAGGAAGCTTTACAAATCTGTGATTTGTTGACTCACCTTGTTCCTGTTGGTTAATATGTGGGCATATAACAACACAGGTTCTGAAAGACCTACATTGGCTCCCAGTACATTTCCGAGCACAATTCAAAGTGTTGGTGGTGCTGACCTTTAAAGCCCTAAACAGCCTGGGCCCAGTATATCTGAAGGAGCGTCTCCACCCCCCATCATCCAGCCCGGACACTGAGATCCAGCACCGAGGGCCTTCTGGCAGTTTCCACACTGTGAGAAGTGAGGTTACAGGGAACCAGGAAGAGGGCCTTCTTGGTAGTGGCACCCACCCTGTGGAATGCCCTCCCATCAGATGTTAAGGAGATGAGTAATTATATAACTTTTAGGAAACATCTGAAGGCAGCCCTGTATAGGGAAGCTTTTTAAGGTTTAATGTTTTATTATGTGTAAGCCACCCAGAGTGGCTGGGGCAACCCAGGCAGATGGGCAGGGTACAAATAATAAAGTAGTAGTAGTAGTAGTACACATTGGAAGGGGGAGAAATTTGCTTGGCATTTTACGTGAATCTACTTAATTCACACTTTCTGAAATAATACACAAACTGCAACATAGCCATCCTTCTAATTGCACTTCTCCAATTTTTGTGATGCAGCCCTCTGGCCAAGTAGTGTCCACAGAACTCTATATTCTAGAGTAAAATGTGCATAAAATGTATAAACAAGTGAAAAACAAATACAAATGGGAAAATTGCTTGCAAAAATGTGTTTCTAGGGGAAATTGTATAAACAAATCAGGATAATGTGCACTAAAATACTGGTGACTTTTCATGAGGGCTTTCACAAACTGATGCCGAAGTACGGAGAGTTGAATTTAAGATTAGGAAAAAAGGAGAAAATAAGAGAAACAAAAAATTGACAGATCTGTCCACCTCTATCTACACCTCAAATCTCTCTCTCTCTGTAAGTGTGTGTGTGTACACCAGATTTAAATGTACACTGTGGTGTACACTGGTGTGTTGTACACCAGTTTTAAATGTCATGGTTCCCTCCGTAAAATCCTGGGAACTGTAGTTTTGGTGAGAGCACAGAAAATTCCCAGGTTGAGATACCTAGCCTCTCTCCTCCCAGAAGTTAAAAATCAGGAGAGGAAATGACAATTAAATCAGTGTCAAGTCTGTGCTGTAGCTATGCCATAATTGTGTGTGTGTGTTAGAGAAGGAGTATTCTGTAGTTCCATCCTCCCTTTT